TATATATATATAACTGATAAGTATTATATATATAAATTTAATTATTTTAAGCCAAATTGATTCGAACATGAAACATTAAAACTTTGTTTGTGTTCAACTCATTTATATATCGAGCACAAAAAAATTATTCGTGTTCGGCTTGTTTGCTTTGCGAAAGAATCAAACACGAGCAACATAACGTGCCGAACACAAGTTGTTCACGAATAACGAGTCATTTTGATAACCCAAGATGGATTCAGAGCAGAACCAGAAAACCCTAGCGACCAACCAGTTGATTGTATTTTCTCTTTCATCAGGTGAAAACTCTTCTTATGGGCACGACTTTCGTAATTTGGCCTTAACCCATTCATTGAGAGTTAAGGTCGTTGAATAATCACGAGATTATTTGTATCATGGATGATAGGTTTTTGGTGTTAAGGGTCTGCAAAAGAAAACACTCAGCATTCACTAAGGATTTTTTCATGAGAGTTTCCTAACCTAGAAGACCTCCCTTTAGCATAAAAGCCCTAATCCTTAGATCTCTGACATCCAGCCTAGGGGCTCTAGGAGAAAGAGAAATACAAGTGCTTTCGAGCATCTTCACCTACGTGGTAGTTGATGTCATGCTTTTTCTTGTATGATGAAGCTCTCCTCGTTGTAGGAGAGAGGATGAAGCTTTTCCTCTTTCCCGTGAGGCTCTGCCTCTTAGAAGAAATGGATCTCCTTTTCCCTTCTGCAACGATGGATGACACTCTTCTATGGAAGGAGATAATAGCTCTTTGTCCTTTTCAAAGTAAGAGGAAGCCTTCCTCTTGAACATAGCTCTCAAGGAAGACACACACCCTCACGCTCTTAGAAATGATGCAGAGAATATAAGTTTTATTGGAGGAAATGAAGTGGAAGATAAAGAAAAGGAACAAGAGGATGCTAGCTTCCCTAAGTTCTCCTTAAACTCTCCCCTCCGCTTTAGAAAGTGAAATCTAGCTGAAAAAATGAACTCTTTAAGCTTATTTTCGGATTGGTCCATGATTTATTCAAAATGGTTCCCTACCCAATTTCACTTGAAATGCCCAACTTGGCCTCTTGCCCCTAGGCACATCCAAATTACCTAACTGCCCTTAAGATCCAAATTTGGCCAAAATTCCCAAATTTTGCCAAAATAATCAAAACTAATCAAAACTCATTCCAAACACTTTGAATACATCCAAATTTGTCAAAACTGACAAAAATTTCCAAAAATGACCAAAATACCAAAATGCCCCTCCATGGCCCAAAAATCCAAAAATTCCAAAAATTCCCAAAAAATCCCAATAAATCCAAAATATTCCCAATTTCATTTTGTCCAACTACACCATGGTCCAATTTGGTCAATTTGACCACCTTTGACCAAAACCCCCAAATTAGCCCCAATATTGGCTAACACCCCAAATTTCAACAATTGAATGCCCTAAACCTCAAATTGGCATCAAATTTTTGTTTAAAATCTTTTGTAAGGTAATTTGTGACCAAAAAAAATAATTAATTTGGACTTAGCCCAAAGCTAGCCCAAGTTTGACCCAAGTTTAGCCCTACATGCTTAATTTAGGTCTAAAACCAAAACCCATCAAAATTCATTCAAATTTCAAATTGACCATCAAACAAAATGACTTTCATCCTTCATGAAAGTTGTTCATAATTACAATCAATTTGAAAAACAACAATCAATTTGGACTTAGTCCAAAGCTAACCCAAGTTTGACCAAAGTTTAGCCCTATATGCCTAATTTGGGTCTAAAACCAAATTTCATGAAAATCCATTAAATTGACCATCAAATCAACTTCAAAACAATTTTCATCCTTCATGAAAATTGTTCATTATGATGTTTTACACTAAATAACACCAACCAAAATAATCAATGTGGACTTAGCCCATGACTATCCCAAGTTTGACCCAAACTTAGCCCAACATGCTTAAAATGGGTCAAAAATCAAAAATCCATCAAATTGATTAACCAATTGACCTCAAAATGACTTTCACCCTTCATGAAAGTTGTTCCT